TATCCATTATGTAAGCATGTGTTTAGGTAGACTACATTAGGCTGAGAATCGATCGAATGTGTGCTCTAAATTAAATTTATTCGACGAAACCTTGATTGATTAAAGCTCGTATTTAAAAATAGGAGTCAACTTGAAGAAAACTTCTGATGGTAAATAATAATGAGTGCGACTACATTCATAGTTTTATGCTCTGCACAACCTTACTCCCCAAAAAGGTACTTCCATCCAGAGTGACACAGGGAAGAGGTGAATTTCGAGGAAGCCTATGCCTTTCCCACATCCCGTTTCTGTGGTGGGATTATCGACGAAGCAAAGATTTATTTGCATCAGCAATTGACTACATGTCTATGTGAAATCTAACTGAAGCACTAGACCCGCCCACAACCGTGGTGAAATTCAACTACCAGCCTTTAATCCTAAACGAAGTAGTGGATACAGCTTTTATGACAGATATACTAGTAGTCTCGAAAACCTATTCATAAATTGAAAATAAAAGGAACTAAATATAGGATTTTGCGTGCAAGTTAATTTCACTTAGCATTTGCCCCAAAAAGGCTTCATCATTCGGGGGACTGCATTTTCAACTTCGCCTACCAGTTCCTACATCTTGAACGGCCTAGCATGACTCAAGTTCTTATATAGGTTTTGAAGCCTACCCATTTGGTATATGGAGGTTCCATGTTTGTACTAGTAAATAGAGGCTTGTCGAGTCTGAGGTTTAAGTATGAGAAAATCAATTCTGCTGGATAGACTTGCTTATGGAAGCTCGACAGAAAACTACATTTTAAACGAAGACTATAAATATCTTCTCACGCTTTTGCGGATTGAAAATACGATAAAGATTCACCCTAGTGATTTAGCTGATAATAAAAGCCCTGTTGCAGAGGTAAAAAGTTGTCATCATTCACATCTTTATTCAACATAAAAAGACGAATAAGATCACACCATACGCATGCATGAACATGTAACATCATGATATAGCCTCCTTAAATATAGTGTAGCTACGGGATAGATGGTAAAATACAATAAATCAAGTATATGGCTTGAATAACGCATACAAACACAGACACAGGCATCATCATCAGACAGTACATCAATACAAATATAAATAAAAATCTGAATGCTAGATGGACAATGATATAACTGTGATCTTCAAATTAGGTTCGGAACATCGTAATGTACATTTTCAAGACAATAACACGGTATCCACGAGAGAAATTATATCAAGCCTTACAGAGGGGATTGTAAATGAAAAGAAACTGAAAATAAAAAATATCAAGAGCTCTTGAACGGCCGGTAACAAAAATCAGCAAATCCTGAGAATTCATCAAACACTACCATGATAAAGCGATATCCGGGATTATGTACATACCAATTGCTATAAACACATTAATATAAAGATAATTGTTTTAGTTGTTCGATAGTAAAAGCACACTATATTTACAATAAGAAAATCTGCTTTGTAAGCAGACCGTATACAAACGCTGTACACAACGTAACAATTAGTTACGAGTTTTCTGCTCTAAATGGCTCTTTAAGGAGCCCTGAAACGTAGTCGACACGAAATCCAACGTAAGAGATTGAAAGCTGACGCACTTCTGTCATTAATCGATTTCATCATCATCATCATCATAACCGCTTGCTTTCATAACGACGTATTCACGCGTAGAAAAACCAAATTTGATCATATCCCTTTCACGAAGCTCGTAGAATCGGCGAGCTTCGATCCTCTGGTTATTGAGATAGGTTCCGTTTACTGATTCGAGGTCAATGACGTAAAGGCGGATATTACCTTTAACCTAGGGCGAAAAATAACAAATAAAATAAGCAATATACAATCCAAATGTAAGAGCAAAAATGTGTATAATAATAAAGTGTTTAGGACCTCCCAATATGCTTCCGATGTTGGAATGAGCAAAGGATCAGGGTGTAGTTTTAATATTGCTCAGAAAGTAATCTAGCTAAAGATGAGGATGGCCTAGCAGCAAGAGATTTATCATACAAACAGTCAAAAATTGTACAAATACCAACCGAGTACAGAGGATTCGCCCCAAAATCGAGCAAAAATGTACTATTTAGTATATAAATAGTGCACTTTCATAGCGAATTATTAAAGAATTCCACGAAATAAATAAAAATCTACAGGTACAAAACAGACCGAACGAAAGAAGATATAAACCCGTTCAAGACTAAGAGAAAATAATTCAAGTATACTTGTGATTGTAGTGTGTTAATGAGAACTTGAAGATAAGGCAATAATATGCAAGGCCAA